GATGGAACCCATATCGCCTAGATTCCCTCGAACCGAGCTGTTGGGTTCGTGCAACCCAGATCGACTGCGTTTCGACGAACCCAGCTGTTGGGTTCTACGAAACCCAACTCTGCTGAGTTCCATCAAACCCAATTGTTGGGTTCATGGAACCCAGATCCGTTGGGTTCCACCGAACCCAACAGCTAGGTTCGATGAAACCCAACAAAACTAGGTTTCATCGAACCTAATAGTTGGGGTCGATGGAACCCAGACTGGTTAGGTTAGAATGGTGCATTTGTGTTGTTTTAGTGGATCAAGTTCAGTTATTTTTCTAGTTTTTGGATGTTTCTTTGGTTTTTGATTGAGGGCTATCTCTTTTTTTTTACTCGCTATTAAAAAAAAAAAAGATGGAAAGACTTCTGGGAATGGTTGTTGCGTTGAGATTATGTTATGTTGCAATGTTATTCATGGGATTTTGAGAATTAATCATGATTTCACCAGTGGAAAAGGCAGTAATAGATTGGCTGCGTTCGACGGAACACAGCTCTGCTAGTTTGACAAAATCCAACTTTGTTGGGTTCCATGGAACCTAGATCGACTAGGTTCGACTAAACCCAACTTTATTGGGTTTCTTCAAAATCTAGCTGTTGGGTTTAGAACTAGGTTATGTTGATTTCCATTCATTTTTAGAACTGAGTTTGTCAAGTTCATCATGTTTTCTCATTCTTCTTTCGATTTCCATTCTCAATTCTTGATAAATTTGAGAGTTGATTTATAATTTGATTGCATTTATGTTGAAATTTAATTTGGGTTGGATTGACATTGTTTATTGAGTTAATTTGATGGAGTGGAGATGACAGAGCATTTAGAGAAGAAGAAGATCTAGGTTAAGATCAATTTTGCAGGTGGAGAGCAATGTGCGACCATTTGAGGGGATTTGGTGTGATTAATTCGTGTAAATATGACATGTCATAATGTGTTCGTCCATTTTAGCACCTTTTTAAGTTGTTTTTTTCCATGTCATCAAAAAAATATAAAAAATACCACATGGACGGAGTTAACAGCTCAAATTGACGGAAGGATCAACATTGTGCATTTTTTAGAGTTGAAAGATCAAAAAAATGCAAAAAAAATTGTTAAAGGACCAAAAAAATACAACTCTATAAAGTTAAGGGATCCAATTTAATATTTAACCTTGAATTTATTAGTTAGAATTTTAACTCCATCAACGTCATCTTTTTGGAAAAATTTCCTTTCCTAAATGGTTGACCGTTCAAAATAATAATAATAATAATAATAGCTAAGAAACGGGTTGATCATAGGCGGGATTGTTATGGTCACTTTGGGGACTGTTTGAACTACCCATATTCGACTTTTGTTTTGTTAATTTTTTTTTTATTATTATCTCTTTTTAGTTTTATTTATCGTATCTTTGTCTTTTTTTTTTTATGAATAAAATGAGTAAAAAAAAAGTAATCTTACAAAATAAAAAAATTTAATTTTAATAGCTTTAATAAATTTTATAATAGTCATAAGTGAAATCATCATTGCCCCACATTAAATTAGATCACATAAATTCAGTACAGGGTTTTTTTTAATTATTAGTTAAGTTATTTAAAAATATTACTAATATATAAGATAAATTTAATTTATTAAATAATAAATGCAAAAAGTACATAAAAATCAAGATGTTTAAATAGTTAATCTTAATCATAATTTAAGTATATGGTATATTATATTCATTATATGATTTTGATTGAATATTTTAATATTTTTAATATTATAATATTTTATTTTTTAATATTTTAATAAATATTAATTATTTTATTATTTATTAATTAAATTAAATTAAATTAAATTAATATTTAAAAATATTTAAAAGTTTATCTCTTAACGTTTCGATAGGTTGCGAAAAACCAAAACCAAACCATTTAGTCAATTAATTCACCAACTAACCTTAAGAGCTTAAATTCAAGTAAATCGAGAGCCCTTCTCCCACTAATTATTTTTAAAAACCCTTTTTCCTTTTCCAAATGTCCTCTATATTCAAAAAGAAAAAGAGACAAAAAGAAAAGAAAAAAGAGTTGCAAAAAACCATGTGCCGAAGAAACGGTGTACTACACACCACCACCGGAAACTGTTTTGTCGGTAAGAGGGTAAAGGAGATTATTTGACTTATAAGGAGATACAGTAGGCATGCCCAAAAAAGATTTGGAATAAAGTTTCTCTATCAAGGTGAGAAGAGAGAAAAAGTATTTTTTTTTTTTATTTAGGGAACTTTTAGGGATGAAAGTGGTGTCTGAGTATTGAACCCATAACTTCACATCCTAATATTTCTCATCAAAAGAAAGGTCATTAGGCCGCCACTTAGTGTTGGATGAGGTTTTTTATTTTTATTTTTTTTATTTTTTTTTATTTTTTTTATTATGTAGTAAATAACATAATTTAAAGTATAATTACAATCAAAGATTTAATACAAATTTGCAATGCTATATCTCCCACGATTGCATTTTACAATTTTTTTTTATTGTTGATTTTCCTCAAAGGCATTATTGCCATTTGATTTGTTTCCTTCAAAAGGTTCTACGCAATGATTCTAATGAGTCAAAGCATTCACGTTCGAATTATAAGTTGAGACTTTATTACTCCCCCCTCAAATTGGGTAGTGGCAGAGATACAAGACTCAATTTGTTACATAAACGGTGAAAGTTGTCTTTAGTTAATGGCTTTGTAAAAATGTTAGTCACTGTAAGGTAAAACTGACAAATCGAGTAATGAGGTGACCAAGTGCAACTTTTTCTCTAATAAAATAATAATCAATTTCAACATGCTTGGTGTAACTATGAAAAACTAGATTGACTATCATACGTATTGCACTCAAGTTATCACAATCAAGAATAATAGTGTTACTAACAACCACTCTAATGTCACGAAAAAGATGTGTAGGCCATTGATCAATACTCTACCTCAGCAACAAGCCATTGTAGGTTGTTTCTTGGCACACCATGAAATACAGTTGCTTTCCAAAAAGGTATAATAGCCAAAGGTGGTAGGTTGTTTCTTGGCACACCATGAAATACAGTTGCTTTCCAAAAAGGTATAATAGCCAAAGGTGGAACGGTGAGTCAAAAGACACCCAGCTCAATTGGCATCTAAAAAAGCATAAAGTCCAAGGAACTTTGGTTAAGAATTGGCCAAAGCACCTATTTGAGCCTCTAGACATTTTTTCTTTCCATGATCAACATCCTAAACTAATTTTTCTCTCAATCAACACCCTTCATAATTTAAAATCTGCAAAAAAAAAAAAAAAACCCTAAATTACCAACAAAGTTAGGGTACAAATAAGGGGTTTAATGGTTAATTCTTAGATTTTTTTACAAGTGTCAAATTATGGAGAGTGTTGATTAGGAGGAAAATTAATTTAGGGTGTTGACCGTGAAAAGAAAAAATGTTTAGAATGCAAATAGGGGGTTTGGCCTTAAGAATTTGTAAGCCATAATTGAGAGTCCCATTTACATACCTTAATATCCGCTTGATGGTTTGGTAATTTACAATTGTAGGAGAATAAATAAACTGACAAACATAATTGATGGCAAATGAGAGATCCGGTCGAGTAAATGTAAGGTGTTGAAGTGCCCCAACAATACTCCTATAATGAGTTGGGTCATGAAATGCATCATTGCTAGAATGCAAGGAACGCACTTTAAGTGCCATAGAAGTGGAGGTCAAGTTGCAACCCACCATTTGTGCTCTGGATAGAATGTCTCGTGCATATTTGAATTAAGATAGAATTAAACCAAGGCTTGTATAATAAACTTTAATGCCAAGGAAAAAATTGAGTTAATCAAGATCTTTAATAGTAAATTATGGACCAAGCTAAGAGATAAACAACTTAAGAAATTCAAAGGTATCTCATGTTAAGATCATATCATCTACATAACTAAGAAGAAATAAAATCCTCTTATTTGAATGACAAATGAAGAGAGACAAATTTGCTGTATTGTAAAAAAAAAAAAAAACCAATGTTAAAAAGGAATTTGCTAAGTCTATCGAACCAAGCATGTGGGGCTTGTTTCAACCAATATAAAGCATGTTTTAATCGACAAACATGAGATGGGATTTTGAGATCAAAGAACCCAAGTAGTGCTCCATATATATCGACTCATTGAGATATCCAAGTAGAAAAGCATTCTTCATGTCAAGTTGTCGAATTTGCCATTGTTTGGTTGTTGCAATCACTATTATAGTAAGAATGGTCCTAGCTTTCACCACAAGGGAAAATGTTTCAAAGAAATCAGCATTGGCTATTTGATGAAATCCTTTCACAACAAGACACGCCTTGAGGCGCTCTAAGCTCCCACCAGCATGTAATTTTGTTTTGAACATCCATTTGGATCCAACCACATTAATATCTTTAGTATGAGGCATGAGGTCCTAAGCATCATTTTTTGCAAGTTCTTCTAACTCTTCATGCATTGCAATGGTCCATTCTTGATGTTTAACTACTAACCAAACTAACTTAGGCTCTATTGGAATGCTTGAAATTTTATGCAATATATGTAAATTTGCATAATGAGGATTTGATTTAAGGATACCTCTTTGTGATCAGGTGACCATTTAACATTGCTGTGTGTTTGTTGCTTAGACTAATGACATGTTAACTATCTCAATTGATGTAGGATAGTCATGTTCTTCATTTGCGGTGTTCATGTTTGCTCCATTGTCTGTTAGCACATTTTGCATCAAAGTTCCATTTTCCTGGCCATCATTAATCAGTGGCATATTTTGCACCAAGTCATCATTTTGATGATGATCATCAATGGTTTGAATGAAATCAATTGGATGAGGTTGAAGTTCTTCATTTGGTTGATGATCATTCATTTCTATTGTCTATGCCCCTGAGTCAAGAATTTCTTTTGAGTCATTAGGATTGGATTCTTCAATGTAGGCTAATTTCTCTTGTTCTATGATCGATGTAGCACATGGAATAGAGCAACTCCTCTTTTCACTATCACTTGCAATACTTAAAGAAATTTCATCAACATTTATCCAAGGATGGAATGTTGTTACCTCAGTTTCAACATTTGGAGTTGCATAAAGTAAGGTCGAATTTGTGAATGGCAAGCACAATTCATCAAAGACCATGTGTCGAGATATGTATATTCGGCTCGTTGGAGGATATAAGCACTTATACCCTTTGTGCTTGAATTGTATCCAATAAAAATGCAAGGCAATGATTTTGGCTCCAATTTATTTTTCTTGTAATCACCTAAGTAAGGAAAACATTTGTAGCCTAACAGTCGCAAGGAGTTATAGTTAGGATGTTTCCCATGGAGCCTGAAAAGAAGGAGAATCCATATTTAATTTTTGTGAAGGCAAATGATTTAGAAGAAATGCAGTTGTAGAAAAACAATGAACGCAAAGTCGAGCAAGGAGTTTTGCATGGAACATCATTGTTAGTCCTAACATTGTGATACTTTGATGTTTTCTCATAGCAAATCCACTTTGTTGTGGAGTTTTTGGATATGCTAATTGATGTTGAATCCATAAATCACCCAAAAGTTGTAACAATCTTTTATTTGTGAATTCACCCCTTCATTAATTTAAAGAATTTTAATTTGTTTATTAAATTGGCACTCAATAAATTGTTGAAAGTGCACAAAGCAATCAAAGAAATTCTACCTTTTTTTAATAAAATAAAACCATGTAAATCTAAAAAAACCGTCTACAAAAATTATGTAATATTGATGATTTTTAGGGGACTTTGTTGGAGTAGAGCCCCAAAGATCATAATGAATTTTTATAGAAGGCTCATCACATTCATCATCAGCTTGAAGAAAAGGAAGTCTAAAAAATTTACCTATTTGGCAACTATCACAAATAGAGTTAGAGTTTGAATATAAAGTGAAATCAATAAACTTTTGTTCAAAAAGAAAATCTATAACATGATAGTTTGGATGGCCAAGTCTTTGATGCCACCCTTCTTTATTTGTTCTTCTAAACCTAGTGTAGAAAAGTGTTGTATGTCCTTCCTCTAAAGCATCCTCTAAAGCATATAGACCTATAGCCTTTCTTCCAAAGCAATTACCTTGTTGGTTCGCTTGTCCTTAATAGAAAATCCATTTGAGTCAATGAAAATATATGACATATTAGTAGTAAGTTGACTAACTGAAATTAAATTTTTCTTAATATTATGAACAAGTAAGGCATTTTTCAATGGAATTGAATTGTCACCAAAGCCAATGTTAGAATCACCAAAGCCAATGTTAGAATCACCAATGTGTAATATTTAGTACTTCACCATTACCAACCATAACACCATCTCAACCATGATTAGGTTTTAAGTTATTTAGCTTACTAGAATTTCCTGTCATATGGACAAATGCACTGGTTTTTGGATGCCATTTAAGCTCCTGATTGTCATCAATGGTGATGGCTGCCAATACCTTTGGAATGTCATCTTCTTGATATGAGTGATTAAATTTGTTGAAGCACTTCAGAGCGATATGATTGAGCTTTCCACAAATTTGGCATTTGACCACACTCTCCATGATGGGGTTTTGAGCTTCAACCTTTTGTTTGTTGAAGTTGTCAGGCTGATTCCTCATAAAGTCAGATCCAACATTCCTATTGCCTACATGAGAAAAGTAGCTTGCACTAGCACTCTTATAAGTGTTGTCACTTCCATTGCCTTGAAAGAAACCTTTTCTTTTTGAGTTAAGTCCTCCATAACAGATACTTGGTAGGAGTTAGTCACAAGGAAACATAGTTTGACACATTGAGAGTGGAAGGATATGGGTAGCTCATGTTTTGAGCTAGGGCCATTATAGGATGGGAATAATAGAATAAGAATAAATTTGAAAGAAATTCTCTGATTCCTCACTGACAAGGTTGATACCATGTGGAGATTTATTTCTATTTAGAGACTACACAAATTATAGTTTTAAAAAAACATTTTGTAATTTAAATGAGAAAATATTATTATTATTTTTTTAATAATAAGGGTCCTGAAATTGAGGTTCTCCTCATCTAAGGTCCCAATATCATACAAAAAAATGAGAAAGTGTGTTAGAAGATATGATATATTTGAGACGTCACAAGCTAAATTATTGAATATTGAGCAAGTGTGTTAGTAGCATCACTATTCATACACAACATGCAGGCAAAAATATACTTTTAGCCTTTTATTTTAATAAATTTGTAGGTTTTAGTCTCTTACTTTATATTATGACACTTTTAGCTTTTTATCTTAATAAATTTGTTGGTTTTAGCCTCTCATCTTATACTCTAACACTTTTAGCCCCTTACTTATATGAATTGAAAAAAATAGCTCTCACTTAACATTAGATTATAATATTCTGTTAGTTATGTTAGTTTACTGTTAGCTTTTTTAGTTGACTGTTAACATCCGTTAACATTCCATTATAAAAAACATGAAATTTAAATTCAATTTTATTTATTAATTTTGTTAACGAAATGCTAACAAAATACTAATAGTTAGTTAACAAAATTAACAGTCAACTAACAAAACTAGTAGAACGTTATAACTTGATCTTAAATGAGGGTTATTTTCTTCAATTTGTACATGTGAAGGGTTAAAAGTGTCATAATATAAAGTAAGAGGTTAAAACCTATTAATTTATTAAGGTAAAGGGCTAAAGTGTTATAATATAAGGTGGGAGACTAAAACTTATAAAATTATTAAGATAAAGGGTTAAATATAAGTTTTAGCCTACAGGGCAAAAATTATTCAAGAACTCCGAGATGAAAAGCAATTTTTTTGCTAATTTTCTTCTCTTTGATTTCCTCCTATTGGATTTGGCAAGCGCCCCGGTGCTTTCTTTCATCTCTTCCATCTTCTTCAGCTTGAGAAAATTAACAACTTCTCCAAGAGTATTGTCAACCCTGCTCCTCCTTTTCCACAACAATAATTCATCAGCAACAGGCGCAGGGGTCACCTCTGTGTGCTCCAGCAAGCTTTTAATTTCTTGCAGGAGAGGGTGATTGCCATCGTGAACGCCCAGGTTTATATAGTTGGAGGCCAATCACTAAAAGGTTAACTAGAATGTGACTGACCTAATTGACAAGGTTAAAATTACACTATCAACCATACCACAACAAAGGCAGAGAAAAGCAAAACAGAATAACATATGGTAAAACAAACTTACTCACTAGCCTTTCGACCAAGATAAAAAGCAATGGTCCCAGAAACTATTGGAACACAAATTTCAAACATCTTTAAGTCTCCTATTTTCAGCCTACATAATATTCAGAAAACATAGTATCATACATAACCCATTGCTCAATAAAGTTCAAAACTTTTCAGCTCCTGTCTTCAATAGTTAAAAGGGTATATAATCTTGAATTTACACTCATGTAACTAAGCATAAAAAAGGTCCATTTTTTCAGGACTTAAAATGCACAGACGCTCATCTTATCCAATTAATACGAAGTTCGGCAATGCTACTAATCGTTTTCTCCTCAAGACTGCCCTAAACCCATGAATATAACAATCCCCATAAAGCGAGGGCTGAAGGAAACAGTGTGTTCGAGGCTGCAAAGCTACAAGATAACATAAAGGTAGGCATCGTCAGGAGTTTTGCCAATTTTGATGAGGCGCTGCAGTCCCGACTCGTGCCTGCCATCTTCCGCCGAGGTTTCACCTGCCGTCGGAGGCATTTCAGCATGCACTTCCACTGTTTAGAGGTTTGGGGATTTTTTTTATCGATTTTCTTAAGGAACGCGGAACCGTGGTGGCCCTAACTCCTCGGTTTTAAATAATCACGGGAAAATTAAAGAGGAAAATTTTCTGTTGTTTTCACACGTCATCTGCCACCCCGCCAAATAAGTTGGTGATGTGTCACGCATTTGTTTCCGGCGACGCCTTGGCGATTGATCCCGGCCGATAACGGCAGCCGGGATCAATTGCAAGGAGACACGAATTTGCAGAGAAAAAATAATAAAGAAAGGATTTTCATATTGGATTTCGTTTGTCCATTGTTGAGAACCTAAATAAAGCACACAACTTTGAAACCCAAATGAACTAAATTTTAAGAAATTCCCTGAAAAATCAGTAAAACATTTCAATTTTCAGATAATTTCATCCTCTTTGAATTCCCAGGCGTCGCCGCTGAACCTTCGTCGTCGGCGTCGTTCACCTCCTCCATCTTCTTTCGCTTCAGAAAATTAACAACTCCTTCAAGGGCAACATCAACATCGTCGCTCCTCAACAACTGTTCAGCAACAGACGCAGGAGTCACCTCTGTGTACTGCAAAATGCTCTCGATTTCTTCAAGGAGAGGGTGACCACCGTCACGAAGGGTGAGATAGTTGTAGGCCAACACTGAAAAAGCCGATGGCTTGAGATAAGACAGCTCAATTTGCATGTCCATCCGGCCAGGACGAAGCAACGCAGGGTCAATCTTGTCCTTGTAGTTGGTGGTGAAGACGAAGATCCGCTCCTCCCCGCAGCCGGACCAGAGTCCGTCAATGGCATTCAGTATTCCAGAGAGAGTGCAGGCAGGGCGCTACAAAAGAAAAAAAAAAAGCAGCATAATTTCAGCTTGGAATGCCCAAAGAAAAGAATGAACTGTAGAATCCCATAATTATAATGCACACTAGCCTTGCCCATTTCCATGAGATGGAGAGGAATTTTCATATTCTCCAATGTTTTCGATGCATTCTTAATCTTCTTAACTTTTTTGGATCGAGCATGGACCTCTTCATAGCAGTCGACATCCTCAATCACAAGAATAGACTTGGTAGGCATGCTTAACAAAACATTCCTCAGCTCTGCATTGGAGTGAATACTGCTAAGCTCCAAATCATACACATCATATTTCAAGTGCTTGGCCATGGCCACAACCAAGCTTGATTTTCCAGTACCCGGAGGACCGTACAACAAATACCCACGCTTCCAAGCCTTTCCGATCCTTTTGTAAAAGTCCCTCCTTGACAGGAACCGGTCCAAATCATCAATGATGCTCTGTTTCATTTCTGGGTCCATGGCGATCGTGTCAAAGGAAGCCGGATGTTGCAAATACGCGGATGTCCATCTGGGGTTGTAGTGAGGCTGGTGAGTGAAAAGCTTCAACTCCCTATCTTCTTGAGTCAAGGAGGTGGATGCGGCCAAAACATGCTGTAAATAATCAGAGCTGATTTCTTCCCTGTTTTTTTCATCGAAAGATAGCCTAAAATGCCATTTTTGGAAAGGAAAAGATCTATTCCCAGGGTTACCAGGTTTGGTTTCCGTTTGAACAGAGATCAAACGCCAGGTAACTTTTATGTTGCGGAAGAAATCGACGATATTTTCTTCCTCCGGTAAGCCGACGGCGATGTTTTTCTGCGAGGGTATTTTTCCCATTTTTACTTGTCTTAGACTTCCCGGGGAAACCTTTCTGGGTAAGTAAACTTTAGCAGCGTCAAAGAGGAGGTTGCGTTCGGCACCCCAGGACTCTTCGATGATGATGATGGCGAGGGAGCGGCCGCGGTAGGTAAAGAAATAATTTTGTATTTTGGACCAGAGGAACCTTCTGATGGGTGGGGGTATGGGGTTGGGTGTAGAGCGGAGAATCATCAAGGAAGCTGAGAGAGAGGCGTAGGCGTTGAAAAGAGTGGAAGGCGACGGCGGGTTTTGGAAGAATTCCATAATCGCGTTTCTGGCTGCAGCCGCTTCCATTGACGAAAAGTTGTGTTCCAGGTTGCCAGGGGGGGTGAAAGCAGGGTGAGAAGGGTTTGATATTTTTTTTTTATACAGAGTAGCGAGTAGCGTGCATTCTCCTGTGGCTAAATGGTGGTCATTACTGTTCTTTTGAGCAGTCGGTAAAATGTATTTTTAATCTCAATTCAATTTTTTTCGAGGGAGATACTAATTTATTAATTTAATTATTTTTTTTTGTTAAAAAAAAAAGAAAAAGAAGAAGAAAAAAGTAGCGAGTAGTGCTGGTACACTGGTGTTTGTTTTGGAAAGTAAAAAGGGTGTCTAGAGGGGCGTGATTATGTACAGGGCGATGCTATAGGACAATTTTTATATTAATATAATTTTTACATTTTATTAAATAAATAAATAATTTAATATTATAAATTTTATATAAATTAAAAAAATTAATTATTTAAATAATATATTATATTATATAAAATAATAATACAAAAAATTATTTTAAAACCACTTCTATTTTATCTAGTACGAAAATCTTATAAATTTTTTTTATAAAAAAAAAATTAAATTAATAAATTAATATCCAATTAAAATCAAAATCAAACTAAAAATAGAACGAATCCTAACTGTTACTCATGAGTAGCGTGTCCCATCCATCGTACCAGACGAGGGCGTTCTTCGAAAAACCTATAGATTAATACCAGGTGGAGTCACGGATACGAAGCAACCCAGAGCGGGGCCGAGGCCGAACGGAGTACGAATCAGTAACAGTAAGGAAAGGGACTATTGTTATAGCCACTCTGGAGATTGCTTAAACTACCCATATTCCGCACCTGGTTTTTTTTT